AAGCCCAACAGGATTCCACATGGCTCGTCCAGCTTACCAGGCCGGAAAGAAATTCCCACCCTGTGCTAACTTCATAATTGCCTTCAGCTTCATGGTAGCAATTAGTTTTCTTTTCCACACCTAGCTCAGCTTCAGACACACCAACTTTTCAGGGAGATAATTAATTTACAGCAATATTACTTAGTTCATCTGGCTGCTTGCTGTGTCTTATTAATGCCTAGGTACTGAAGACTTTTTTCCCTTCATTCTGACAGGAATTCTTGCAGTCTCAATGAGCAATTAGTGTAAAAGAGAAGAGCTGTCATGAGGAGATAGAATTAATACCAAAAATATCCAAGCCCAAACCTGTAAATCTTTAATGTCTGCAACTTTACATTTTTTTTTAATTCATTAAAAGATACATTATTAACCACGAATTTTCTCCAAAATATGCCAGCTATTAAGTAAGAGCTTTTCCTTAAAGGTTTCACAAGTTAATTTTAATAATTGTCATATAAATTAGAAGTATTATGTCATATTTCAGGAGATCAAAATTTATCCTCTTTCACATACGATGCTTCAAGAGTTGATTTTTCTTTTTTTTTCTCTCTGTCTCTCTCTTTTTTTTTTTTTCTTTTGTAGAACAGCATTTTCATAACAAGGTACCATTTTCCATAGCTTAATTATCACTGGAGTTCCCATTTGGGCTTTCAAAGGAGTGTTGGCAGCATCATTTCATCTTCTTTTTGTTAAAGAACACGTAACACGTAAACGATGCGATACTTTCTGCAGTAGGAAAAATAAATAAGAGTCTTGCATGAAGATATTATGTGTAACAGAGCCCGAACTGGTATCTCACTAATGTGTATATAACCCACTTTATAGAACCATAGCTTAACCAGGCTAAGGGCTTAATTGTTATCGATTAATTCTTCCCACTGCTCCAATATCAGTCGTTACGGAAATAATCTCCATATCCCTCGTTAAACATGCATCAGTTTCCACAGGAATGCATTTTTAAATAAGAAATGCTGTTTGAATATTATTGGTTTTACTGGTTGTTCAGGCACTTGGAGCTGTGGTTGCCCAATCTGTCATAGTTAATCAACTCTCATCTCTTAACACTGGCTGCAGTTATCAATGAGTTGAGGATTAATATTCTGGGCGAAGCAGATGATAAATCATTTGTATATAATTAGTGTACAGCAAGGTTACAGCTGACATGAATTTTTATCTTAATTATGAGAGAAATTTGTTCCATTAATTTAATTTAGTTTGCATGAGTGGCTAGACACCTAACAAAGTTAATCTTACACCTGTCATTACAACATTAAGGAGAGTCTCATTTTCAAGCTGTAGACACAGATACTCTGCGTATAAGGATAATGTTGCTCATTCTGATGAGAAAATAGATGATCGTGGACAGAAGATATAGAGCCTACTCTTTTTAAAGTCTTCCCAAAGGATTTATGTGAGAATATTACAGAGATTCAGATCTTGTTGCCACCGTACTGAGTAGACTAATTTTCCTTCAGTCTTCCTTCTGTACTTCCTCATGAAGGAAGCTCATATTACTTAGAGAGGGAGTTTTTTTTGCCTTATTTTTATAAATACATATTTTAATTGCTACAACTATGTGTGTGTAGTCAGCAGAAGGCATGTGACAATGCCATACCACTTGTATGACATGATATCTGCATTAATGGCGATGGGTGAGGAAATGCACACTGCCTGCACAGCCTTCATATTTATGTGAGAAAGAATTATTCATAACTTCATCTACTACACAAACGGCAATTATGCAGGCATTTCTGAGGTTTCAGCACACTAAGTAAACCAAGTTCTCTGTTAATTATCCAAGCAATTATCAAGTCTGATAAATCATACGTGATTGATAGATAAGGTGGAGCTGTTTGGGTAGCAGGATATGGTGTTCGTTATTTTGCTCATAATTAACCGAGCACCTAAATGAAAGAAGACTATTTGTGGCGTCCTTTATAAAAATGTTTATCTTTATAGATTTGTTGATTATAGTTATTTAACCCTGGTAGGATGACTTCGGAAAAAGAAAAGCCAATACCCGAGTCTTTTTACAGCTAATGAGATGAGACTGAATACAGTGGGGACAGAAATATAACTGAAAATTGCATTCTGCACTCGCTTGATTCCAAATACATATTTGTAATACAAGCCGGTCTGCTTCACGTCTGCAGCATAAAAATAACCCTCTAACAGAAACACTAATTGAACAGTAACTCAGATTAATGTTTTGTAATATTAGTTCACAATTATTACTCTCAGCTAGGGTCAAGAAGTATATAGTTGGATATTCTCAAAGAAATGACTGATTTAAAAACAAAGAGCTCTAATGGAATTCAGTAGTGCTTTTCAGTCATTCCAGTTGGCATCTCTATTACCTGAAATGATTCACAGTCCATTATGGGAGCTTCCATGCTAATAGAATGTCTATCTTCTGTAATACAGACACATCAGGGCACTAACTGAGAATCTGTCACAATGAATTTCATCTAGATTTCACTTCATCTCTTCATGGACTGTAAAATTTGCTCTTGTACAATGCCTAAATTTACTGTGGGTAATTGAGAGAGATCTATAGATGCAGCATGTGGTAAAAAGCGGCTTTCCAGAGATCTATTGTAAATTGTGCAGATTTGGTTCAGCTGGGGAAAAATTATGAAGTGCTGAACATCAGCCTTTGCTAATTAAATTTTTTGGGGAGCTCTGGAAATATTTTGAGTGGATCACGGCAAATAGGGCAGTGAAAATAGCACTCTGCTTCCAATGTCTCTCCTGCAGCTGGAAAGGTAATAAAAAGCTTTTGAAATTTAAGAAACCCCAAAAGAGAGGTAGGCAAATGAGTGTAAGTAGGTCCCATTGCTCCTCGTGACAATTATGGATCACACCACGTAGACCTGTGGTATTTTTATCTGCCTCATGTTTACACAGTACAGGGTGGGCTGTTGCCCACTTTATCTTACTTCCTCCAGTCCTGTAGAAAATCCTCCTTAAACAGTGCAGGTAAGTACATTCTGAGACTATGAATTCTAACTAGATGTTGCTGTTAAGTTCTATGCATGGACTGCTGATAAAAAATTAAAATAACGTTTAACACATGGCTCATTTTTTTTCCCAGCTGAACACCTACTGCTCTGCTCATGAAATAGATATCCTGGGCAGTATCAACCATTTATTTCTTTTTCTTCTCTTTTTCTTTCTTTCTTAAAAATAAAAAATAAAAAAAAATTACTTGTTCTTATTAAAACCTAAATTAAATTATAGGTGTCCTTACCAATCACAGACTTTAATATTTGTTGGCCAATTACAATTGTGATATATTCTATAGCTTTTTTCCTAAGCCACAAACTGAATAATAGCATCATGCTCCACTGCAAGTGAAGTGATCTCAGCCTTTACATTAGGAGAAAATCAGAATGGTATGACTGCAGTTCATTACTGAAATAGGTAACTGATGAACTGAAAAGACAAAGGGCATTGTTAAATGAAATGTCATTATTAGAGCTGCTCATGTTTAACAAATGTACTGTAAGTGAATTCAGTGTTTTCTCCAAAGTTCTCTGTAGGAGGTTCACCACTCATATCTTATGTTCTCAAACCTGTTCAATGTATTTTTACTTTCCTCATGAAAGCAATGATAACTAAAGCCTTAAATAAACACCAGTTAGGCTGTTGCAAGAAAATGTTTCGTCAGCTTTTATCTCCATCAGGGTTTACCTCCAGAGCTATTGCTCACTCCTGATCTCCTGAAGACAAGCCTCTTAAAATGTTTCCAAATGTTTATTATGTTTGAATAAGTGCCTTGTTTACCCTGTAAGAAATTGGAAGGTAAATTCTGAATTTCGTGGGGAAAAGATGTAGGCTTTAGGCTCTGGTTCAGCAATCTATGACTATGCAACAAAGCACTTTGGCACGTGTTTAATGTCAGGTCCTGAGGTATCTGTTTTAATATGTTGCTGAATTGGGGCCTTAAAACACAAGCAGTACCTCTGTCCTCATATTTTAAGAGCTGTGTAAAAGTAGTGCTCTGATATTAAATAAAAAACATATAATACTTTCAGCATCTGTAGGAAACTGTTTGCATTGCCCCAGAGGTGATAAAAATAATTTATGGACCTCAGTATTTTTCTCAACAAGGAAATGACATCAGCTTTGGCAATCAGAGCTAGTTAGCAAAGCTTTTCTGCTACACTTATGGATATACTTGAACTGCATATTCTTTGACTTGTATTTTAGATTTATTGGCAGATACATAAGTCACAGTAAATAACTTAAAAAGCAAGTGATGCTCAGCGTATTTTGAGCATAGACTGATTGACAGATGAAGAACACTGCTCCTTCACCCATGATTGAAACCTGTGCCCTTCCTTGTTATAAATATGTCTAGTGGGATGTCATGTGCATTTTTTAAACAAAAATTCTAATATAACTGGAAGATGAAAAGCATATTCAGACTGTGATATGTGCAAATGTGAGCTTGAAAAGCAAATATGTAGTTATGTTTCTACAATAAGGGTGATGGAGAACTGAGAGCAACCTGGAAGCCCTCTTTTCTCCAGGCAGTCCCACTCTTCCACTCTTAGGGCTACAGAGTCTGACCCCATGCTGTGTTAATGGCCCAAAAGGAGAGATGAACAAGGCTCCTCTCATTCTGCTGCCACTGCATTTATGTTTGAGCCAGCACTGTTAGTAGCTGAGTGTTTCAGCCAGGGCTTGCTTATGTCTTGGACAGGTTTTGAAATAGAGATCTGGGCCTTGGATGCCCTGTGCTCCTCAGTGTAATGATGGGGTGTGATGGAGGGAAGTCATGGTGGGGTCCTCTGGTCTGCACTGAGCAGTGAATGTGAGGGATAGGTGTTGTATGTGATGACGTAAGAAAGCCCAAAGCCTGGAAGCACGATCTTTCCTGATACTGCTACAGATCTAACATGTTGAAAGCATTGAGCAAACATCACTACTATTTCTTCATCCTTTTTTCACTTTAGGCAAGGATTTTAAAAGCTGCAATCAAATATCTCCACTGACATCTCCATCGTTTGCCTGCTGGAAATTAGAAAACAAACATCCCCTCCTACCATCCTTGCACCAGCAGGAAGATTAATTTAAAGTGTGAGGCAGAGCTCCAGAAGTTTTTCTCTTCATTGTTTTGTTCTCGTGGCTTTAAACCAAGTCATCATTAACCCTTTCACGCAGCTTTTGTGGTGCTGAAAGAAATGGCATCGTAAAAGTTTTAAAGCCACCCGTGGTGATATATCCAAATTCTCTCAAATGTAGCACAAAATACTAAACATATAATAATAAAGAATGAAAGTTTACTCACTTGCAACTGAGCTTCATCCTCATCTGTGAAGATACACATAGGTTTTAAATACAGATTTAAGAAAGGAATGGTAGCAGAGCCTCTATGTTCTACTGTTTCTATGACCAAAATCATCACAAACAAATAAACATGACTTGGATTAGATCAGCAACTAATGAATGAATATTTCTCCCTCAATGTGCCTTAGTCATCCCACGGGTGCTCCATGCTCTGGAAATGAACCTTGCAGGCTGTGAATATGCACTGAGCTCCAGGAATGAGCTGCAGCAGTACCAGCCAGCGGGAAAAACATACGCTGAGATTATTTTGCCTATTTGTTGAACTTCACTGCCATCTGCTGCTGGAAGGGAACTCGGACCTCAGGCTGGGAAAGGTGCACGGGCAGTGTGTCATATCAATTCCAGCTTCGAGGTCTGAAAGTGCTGTAAATGGCAAGAGGAAAATGTTTGCTCACAGGATTGGTGTCCCATGGGACACAACATCAGGGGATATTCTAATAGACCAAAAGATGCTGTATCCCTACCAGTGTTCAAGTGGCCAGTGATTATGAAATCAGAAGCAATCCTGCCCCTGTGCAGGCTCATACTTCACTCAAGGGAGCTTTTTTCCCAGCCATGTCTTGTCACAACTCCAGAACACCAGCCTAAGGGATGCCATCCTTTGCCTCTTCTTGCACCTTCCTCCCTAGAGAATAAGCCTTCCTCATGTTCTCTTTCCAGCATTATTGCCCCGTCTTCCCTCCAACAGACCCTGAAAAATCCCATCTCTTCCAACTAGTTTAAAAGAACCTAGAGGAACAGCTTGAAAAGTAACCAGTAATTATAAGGTCTCTCATTCAGTGCAATGGAAATACCAGCACTATATTAGGCTGAGATAACCAGATTAGGTGCATCATTGCTCACATCATTCAGTATGTCAGGTAATTTTCTTCCAGTCCTATTATTATTGCCTGATGCTGGCATTTTCATTGTGTTTAACAACCAGAAGTATACCACATCCAGGAGAAGAGAATGAGGAAAGGATAGGGAATGAGGACTGTATATAAAGATATATAAAGACTATGTATATAAAGACTATGAATTCAAACAATAGAATTATATTACGAAAAACATGTTAACAATACAAAATATCACTGCTGGGTATAGTTAGAGATAAGAGGTCTGTAAAAGAAAATGACTTAATTCTTTACCTTGATGTAAGACAAAGCAACAGAAGTCTTTACTTTGACCTCAACAGGATTTGGATGAGACTCAGTAATACTGCTATGCAAGCTAAAGAGATCGTTGAAAATTAACCTAAATACTCTGTTTAGATAGTTAATCTGATGGCCTTGAAAATCAAATGATGATATTACATTTACTGCAATTAGTTGTTTTCCTCTGCAGTGTCTGGGGTATGCTCTCACTGAAGCAGTTACTACACCAGTATTAACTCTTTCCCCATGGCAACACCTACTATCTCCTTGCTTCTTTGCTGTTTTTTTTTTTTTTTAATTACTAAAAAGCTTGATAATCAATATAGCTGCAGAAAAAGCAAGATGCAGTCTATCTCCCCTTATGCCTTAGCAATAAAATTGCAGTTCAGTCCTGATCTCAGATTATCAGTTGCTATCAAAGCTGTGTTATGAACTACAAGGCATAAAAAAACGTAGCTCAATTTTCAGATACCCTACGTGCAGAGTTAGCAGTTAGAAAAATCTTATTTTGCCTTAGAAATTGACTGAATTTGTTATGGAATTCAGTGGAAAAGCTTCAGAATGGAACAGAGGCACAACAGTTCCCAAGTAGAGCAACATGTCTTGAAGCAGTCAGACTTGTATTATCCAGCACTGGGCTCCCTGTTAGCGCCAGAGTGTGTTCTGGTGGATAGACTCATGTCCATGTCTCCCCTGCATAGGCCATGGAGCAAAATACTTATCTTCTAACTCTTAAATGAAAGATAAGTGAAAAACTTCATGAAGAGGTCAGTCTAGAGCTGAATAAGGTCAAAGTGTAGAGACCTGTGTTCTTTTCTTTGCCTTTTATTTCTCTGTAACTATTCCTCTAAAAGTGTTTAAAGTAATAGTCCTAACTAACCTTTTCACAACACCTTTCTTCTTTTCTGTAGTTTCTTCTATGTGAGCAGTCAGTTCTTTGCTCAACCATCCAGCATATGTGCAGCAGCCTTTCAGTCTTCCAGAGTCTCTTAAGAACTGGTTTAGCCTTGGAAGTTCTGCTTCTGCCACCAAGTCTGTAGCTCATAACTGGCATTCTGACACCACAAGGCACAATAGCCCTGCTTACCATCTGATTTTGGACCCCCTGAATTTACTTCACTGTACTGAAAGCAGACTTTTTTTTCCCTCTCTCTTGCAGTTCAGCACTCTGACCCTCGCTAAGAGCAGCTCAACTATTCTGCTTAAGCTGATTGCACCGCTTCTCTGTTCCGCAGCACGCTGCCTTGCTTCATACACCTGCAGAAATAAAAGCAGGTAAGTCCTGATGTGATGCTCTGATACAGCACATGCAGCTCATTTCAGCTTGCTTTCTGAATCAAAAAATACAGGATATTTTCTGCTATACAAAGGGAGAGTACAGCAAAAGGACTGACTACAAGGCAGACAGCTAGGAAAACATAGATTGACAAAAGAGAAAAGGCATTGTCTGGTATTTTAAAAAATCTTCAGTAGAGAGTTGGAAGAGAGCCTTTCCAGAAGAGATTAGAGAGAGAAGTGGCTTTAAGATCTTGGTGAAAGGTTAATTATTCTCCCTGTGGAATCGTGCCTGAAGTAAATCTGGCAGCTGTACTTCCCAGTGGAAGAATTACTCAGTGCTGCCACTCAGTGCTTCTGCCCCACACCGACCATACAGAGCTTGCTGCTCAGCTTCCCATCAGCAAAAGGAAATAATTTCTGCTGAATCTATCTACAGCAGTGGATGGGTTTCTACTTTGCAAAAAGCCTGAATAAGAGAAGCAATGCATATCTGCAGCCATAGGTAATACTAGCCAAGTGTGTGGTGCTAAAAGAGTCCCACCAAGTCCTAAGAGCATAGCCAAGAGATAGAAAGCTGGAAGGTGATTATATTCCCTATATAGAGGCAGATCTAGGAGATAAGAGGTAGCTTCACATTTATTTCTCATACTATGCAAAAGTAACACAGACACCAAGTAAGAGAGCAGCAGTAATGGGAAGCAGAGCTTGCTGGAGGCAGCTTTTAATGCTTGCTTTGTGAATGAGCTGTGATTTTAATTGCCATTTGAACCAAACTAGTCTGGACAGCCTCCAACATAGCCCAAGTGTTAGCCTATCTGTAGGAATGTTTTAACTCATTGTAAAAGTCATGGAAGTTACTTAGCATCATTTTCCAACTGTTTCTAGAAGGAATAAGTCACTGATAAGAGAGCATGATTTGGGGATACACAGTATAATTCCAAACATATTACTTCATGCTTTCCAAACTCACAAGAATATGAACTGCTGGAGACAGCAGAGAAATTGCTAGGAGAATTCTACAACAAAAAGACCTCATTAGCTTTGAACTATACAAAAAAATCCAGCACAGTCGCTGGAGTCAACCAAACTGCTGCTTATGGGTTAACTGATAAGGAAAATGCTAACAATCTTGGAGGTGAATTTTTGTCCTAGGTGGCCCTGCTTAGAGGATGTGAGGCTGTGTAATAAAGTACTGCTAGTTCTCCCTATTTATATTATGGGCCCTTGCAATATTCAGTGTTTGTTTAAAGCCCAGCTCCTGGAATCGAGAGATTAGGTGAAAGTCTCTGTTCTAATTAAGAAACAAACATTTCTTCATTTTACCGCGGGTGGGGAGAAGCACTCCAAGGGCTCAAAAGCCAAAAGCAGATAGCAAAAAAGCTTTGTATTGATATATAATTTAGATATATTAAATCACCTCATTTAAGTCGATTACGTTATTTATGGAGATTGAATTTTTGATGTTCATTGTCTGGAAACACTGGCAATGCCATATCCAAGAAGTGTCTGATTTGCTTACTAAACATCCCATCTTTAATCAGCAACAGAACAGTTTCAGAGAGATGCAGGCTCAGGTCAGTAGATTTATTTCTGATGAAGATGGTGAGAGAAAAATAGCAGCAGTGTGCTTACCTGTGTGACTGTGACTTAGCAGGAAATGTAGAATACAGAGCAGGCATCCAAGGCCACCAGTAGATGCACAGTATGATGTCCATATCCATGGCATGTAGAAAAGGAAACAACTGTGTGTGGAACATTTGCAGAGCTGCTGAAGAGGGATCTTCCCTTTCTGGCATGTGATCTTTGGTACAACTGAATCACAGATACCCGATTTTAAAAGAAAGAACCTCCGGTGATGTAGAAACAGTTGCAAGCAATGCAATGTGCATCCACTGTTGCCAGTAGGTGAGATTGTGAGTGGATGCAGACTTGCTTATTGTCTCTGCACAGACAGCTTCAGAAACAGCTGAAATTAATGAATTTTCACTGTTAATGGAACCTTACCAGGTGGGCTTTTAACTATTAAGCCTTCTCGACTTGGGTCTCTCTGGCTTCCTATTTTTGTATTTTGCCTTCTGAGAAGCTTAGAACCCTATAAGTTGGAAGCTAAGACTTCTAGAGATGTAACTTTTTTCTCCCTCACCCTCTCTGATGGACCTTATTTCTAATTTAGCATAAGTGATTTTTCTTCAATTCATCAACTACTGAAATTAATATTATGTGGACCGTGATTGTGTGATAAGTTAAAAAGTAACTTGGTAATTATATGACCATGAATTTTTCACAAACCATATACATAAGAGACTTATGTGACAGTTAAGAACTTCCATGGTTTCTAAATTCTTGACTTTTATCTAATTTCTGGCAAGGTTCCCTGATCTTTAGGGGTTTTGCATGGCTTTTGAAGTACAAGCAGTAGGTCTGCACAAACCAAAGCTTAGCAAAGCTTGTTTTTTGAAGACTAAAATTTTAGAAAGTGCCTAAGTAATTAGCCAACTGTAATTACTAATTACAGTATCAATTTAT